TTACAGTGATGGAGAAAACTAGTTAGGGCCATGAAGCTTGCCTGTTTGTTTTTCCCTTTTAAAGTTTTGATGTCCATGCTTTTCTTTTCTTCTTCTTCTTTTTTTCTTTTTTTCTTTTTTTTCTGGACAGCATGAATCTGAAACATTCCCAGTACAAATACATTTTTGCCTTCTACATTTGCCTTGCTGATTGTATTGGCAAAACAATCTGCTCTTCTCCGTATACTAGAAGGAAAAATAAAATATTTCCAAACATAATCTCTTGAATAGATTTCCCCTGATGGCTGCTCCAGGAGACCCCATACAAGAGCTATTTCAGTTTGCCGTGGTTTGGGCTTTAGCGTCTTCCTTAATGACTCCAAGAAGCTATCTTTTTTTTCTTCCTGGCTCGCTTCTGTGCCACTGGACTACTTTGCTTGGACTGATCTATTTCAAAACTCAAGCTCGCCCATTGGCCAGATGTCTGTGACCACTGGATTTCCACTGGTTTTTTCAGTTTTCCATGATTAACCAAAATAACAGAAAATGATGCCATGTCTGGCCAAGGGCAGATGTTGCTAGTTGCCAAAGCCCCGGCATTCATCACCATGACATGCCATTTGCTCCCCTGGATGGAGACAGTCAGGGCTTTGAGAGGCCAAGCTTCAAGGGAAGAGTTTGTGAGCAAGTAGGTGTCATTTGGAAATGATTTGAGAGCTAGGAGACTTACCGGCTAGCCACTGAAAATCTCACTTGTGATATATTAGCAGGAATGTCGGGAGCCCGCGTTGAGGGTAAGGTCTGCCTTTCCCACATGCAGCCCTTCATAGCTGACACATTACACATGTCTCTGGAGTGTAACAAATGGCTTCCTGAACTTGCAAATGTGGCCTCCTGCTCTGTTGAAATAATGTCTGTTTAAACAGTCTCCTGGAAAAGTGAAGCCGCATTCAATAAAATAATTGCATGTCCAGGAAGCTTTCTCGAGGGTTCTTTAAAATGTGATTTCTAAGGAACATAGTAGAAAGTTTGCATTAAAGTGTTGCCTGCCTCGATATCCATAATTGACTGTCAGATCGTAGCTGTAGAAGTAGATGTTTATTGTAGATGTTAAAAGATTCATGGAGTATTAGCTAGACGAGAATGGGACAGATCGTCTAGTTCAAGAATAGTAAGCTCGGTTTGATGGTAAAGACATATTGTCCCAGCCAGTCCACATGCTGGGGGAGGAGCAACACAAGGCTAAGGCTGCTGTGCTGCTGTGGCTACAGAACAAGTTCAAGGCCAGCCTGGGCAGCTCAGTGAGGCCCTTTGAAACTATATCCATGTTTAATACGTATGTGCATGAATCTGCCAGCAGCCTGTCGCTTCATCAACATGTGGGTTTACGAATCGTCCAGAGTAAGAGCCAGGCTTTGGCAGCAGGCTTGACTTCATAGTAGGAATGTGACCGTCCATGCACCCTTGACCCAATGCCAATTTAGCCAGAAACTGACCCACAGCATGTTTTTGTTATGTATATGAGGGAGGGAAGGAGGAGGAGAAACATGTGATTTATTCATTCCCTACAGAAAACATACATGGACGTATAGTTTAATGAATGGTTTTTGAGTGAGTGTCTATGAAACCACTAACCAGGTTGCAAAACAGACCAGGGCCTCTGTGTAGTCCCGTGCATCCCTTCTCACCAGACACTGCACCCCAACTCCTAACCAACATCCTGGCTTTTACCGCATCCACGTCCTTGCTTTCTTTGTATCCATTTCTACAGGGTGGGGTTCCATTTCTTCTGAATTTTTCTTTCTATGCGTACAGTCATCCTCAGTGGGGCTTTGCCTGTTGATCTTTCTTCTCTGAACGTTTCTAGTAACTGCCCATGCCGTCGCACCCCAGCGTGTTCACTTTGGTTCCCTTGCCGACTCCCCTTGGTTGGCTCTCCTATAATCTACTTGTGTCATTTGTAAATTGTGTCTCTGATGAGGGGCGCTGTTAAGTTCTGCCACAGAGCTTATGGACACATTGAACATGCATCCCCAAGAGAAAGCCCGGTGTTGGCTGAGCTTTTGTGGGAGACAAGTAGTGCTGGAACAGGGAATGTTTTTTCTCCTTTTCCCATCCTCTTCTTATTAAGGCCTTGTGAAGGACAGAAGTGCTTCACATCAATTCTCTAGCCAGTCTTGGCGTAGATTCTAGATGTCCCTGAATGGAATCAGGGAGAATAGTTGCTGGACCTCATAGACTCCTGGGAATCATCTTAAATCACTGGGTCAGAATCTTTAGGATGGGGCGGAGACTCTGCAGGCTGAACCGCCATCTGGGTGGTTCTCGTGAGGGAGACACTGGCTCACCCCGGTTGAATTTATGAGGTTTGGCGTCTTAGTCATGAAGAAATTTGGGGAAAGTATACATGATTAAAAATCTTGGAAAACTGGCCTTTTTGTGGAAAAGCTAAGGAAGTTGGATTCACTTAGCCTGTAAATGTATTTTTAAAAGACTGAAACATGATTTAATTGTTTGAGAGAGAATGAATTTTCTTCTGACAGTGCAAATATTTGCTAAGTCAAGAGAGATTTAGATTAGTCAGGAGGGAGCACATACGGAGCGGTCTCCAGGCACCAGGGATGTAAGAAAGAAAAGCTGCAGCTCACTGTCTTCGGGGAACTGAAGATTCAGGATAAAAAAACGAACAAACCAGAACCCTCAAACACAAGCCAGGATGCCATTTTTCATCTCGTCTAGACGGTAGGCTTCAGTGGAGCTGAGTAGGTGGCCCCTGGGGATACAGCGGAGCAGGGTAGTAGAGAGAGGTCACCAGGAGGGCCCTGGGAGCCTCCAGGGCCTGGTCAGCTTTGGAAGTTGTCCTGTGTGTAGGTGGTGGATGACGGGCAGCTCTAAGCAGTGGCTTCCATTGTTGTTATTATGATCCTCTAATGAGCAATACTTGCAGTCACAGCCTACTGTGCACATGTTTACACGATCCAGATGTTTCATAAGGCGTTCCATCTTACTAGACCTGAGCACCTGGTGCTATCTTTTCTGTTTTGCTTTTAATATTTAGCTTAACCCCAAACTGGGTAGGAAACTCTTAAGCTGACCAGTGTCGGGTCTGTCTCAAGGCTTGTTAGAGGAGAGGATTTTTGCAGAGACCCTAGGAAGAGCCATTGTCAATCCATGGTGGTCTCTGGAAACCTTTCTTGATTCCGGAGTACAAATGGATTACTTTGGAATGTCAGGAGAGAATGTCAGACTTCATCTCCTTATCCAGCTGGTCCTGTCTTTTGACTGTAGGTTGACCGATACCTTTTAAGGTTTCTTCTGGTGCTTGACTTCAATGATGTGCCTCTTGGCGAAGGCATGTGGGACATAGAGATAAGGGCAGGGAAGGGGAATTTGCTTCTAGATTCCTGAAAGAGGTGACATCAGAATGCTTCTTAAACATGCCCCCATGTTGTGCCTAGCTAAGGAGATAATATGCCAGGTGGCAGGTGACAGGGTATGGAGAGGTTCCTGAGGAAGATAAAGTTTAGAAGAAAGTGGGCGTCACCTTTCCAGCTCTGCCTTTCTCAGTTTGCTCTGAAGTCGTCTTCTGTTCAGACTCTAAAGGTCCCTGCTGTATATTTGCACCCATTCTTGTTCCGCTGCCCATCATGAATCAGCGTGCAACACTTGCAGATGGAATGGGATTGCAGATCATTAGGTGTCCACATAGGAGAAGCCACCTTCTCCTGGCCTCATCTGCTTTAAGAGGGTCATACAGCCTAGATCAGAGCACGCCAGACCTCGAGCAAGTGCCATTGCTCTCCAGACTGTACAGGAGGGAGACCTTCCTTGCCACGGCCTCCCCAGAGATCCACCTGGAACTGATTTAGGGAACCCTCACCATCGGATTTTTCTCTGAAGAAAAATGGAGTGCCTTAGCGGCAGTAGACAGAAAATCCATTCATGTGGCCTTGCCTAGCTTAAGTGCTTTTCATTTTCATCCATTAAGATTTCACATTCTTGTGACTGGCCCAATCCAGAATTCAATTTAGTCAGTTTAGGTTAGGAAAGGATTTTTACAGAGGATCATACTTTTCCCTTTCGGGATAACGTAGCTAGAGATCACTGGCCCTACGTGTACTTCAGTGAAGCTTTATTTTGTTTGTTTTCTTTTGTTTGTAAAATGCACTCTGGGGGAAGTCAACTGCAATCTGTTTCTTTGTGTGTGCTACACTTAAGTGACACTCCTTAGACTCGTAATGAAAGCTGGTGCCCTGACCGAGCACTTCAGCTTCCCGTCAATAGGAAGCTTGGTTTGTAGTCAAGGTAATGCCTGATTTTTTGTTTGTTGAGTCCACGGTTGGAGTAGGAATGTGGATGACAGTGACCCAGACAAACTTGGATTTAAAAAATGCAATGGGAAGGAATCATATAGAGCTGTGCTATTCCATGTCGTACTCACTAGCAGCTTCTCAAAAGTTTTAAGAACTCAGTCCCTCAGTGGCCCTGGCTGGCTGATGTATAATAACTTGATCAGAGGCGACGTCTGTCGCTAGTGATACTTTACTCAGTTGGCAGCCTGGACAGCTAACTTCAAACCTGCAGACAGCTCAGAGAATCTGGTAAACAGGCCAGAAGGAATAGCTTGTGTTTAAACCCTTGGTAAGCTTGAGCTGCTGGCTGGTTTGATTTGGTAGCACGGTGCACTTGAGTGAACTGGGCACTAGGGTCAAAGGCCTCAAACACCAGCTGTCAAAGCCAGCTAGCAATTAGCTAATGAGTAAACTGGCCCGTAGTCTACGTTGCTTCATCTTCTGAAGGGTCGAGGAAGCGAATGACCCTCTCTCAGAGTTTGCTGATGGCTGGTATTTCATTAAACGGTTGGTGTTTTCTTTGGGAAAACCAGCCCTTCTTGGGTGTCCCATGGTGAAGCTGAAAGCATTTATAAAGCTGCTTGTTGGGAGCAGGGCTTGAGGTGACCTAGGGAGACAGTGATGTAGCCGATGTCGCTCACCCCTCTGCCTTTGCCTTTTGCTCCACAGACCAATGAGTGGAATAAGAATGATGATCGGCTGCTGCAGGCTGTGGAGAATGGAGATGCCGAGAAGGTGGCCTCGCTGCTGGGCAAGAAAGGGACCAGTGCCACCAAGCATGACAGCGAGGGCAAGACCGCGTAAGAGAAAAGACTGGCTTTGACCTGTGTTTGTTAAGGGTTGGGGAGCCTTTCAGTGGTAGTGTGTCTGCTAAGCATGTCCAAAGCCCAGGGCTCCATCTCAATGCTGTAAGAAACAAACAAGCAGACAAACTCCAAAGCATTGGCTCGTTTAGGATTTTCAGCATGGGCTCCAGAATCCCTAAGCTTATGGAGGGGAGTGTTATCAATGTTTTAGGGACCTTGGAACAATTACTGCTGACCACTTCCTAACCCTATGCTAACACATGTATGGGGTTGTTTCCTTTCCCATCCAAGTCCAAATTATACATTGGACTTTTCTCCAGTGGCTGTGCTGGTTCCTGGAAACAGCCAACCCACGATTGCACCAGAGAGCTAATAGCGCCAGGACTGCAAGTGGTTAGTAGATGAGAAATCAATTCTCCCCTGGATAAGAAACAGCACAGCTTTCAAGCCTTGCTCTGTAATTTGTTAAACCACTCTTTACCGTGGAGAGTGATTGTATGAGCACTGGAGTAAGATTTTGCTTTATGTTTGTATGCATCAGATTCCTCCTTGCTATAATTAAAACATTGTGTTGACAGAGAGAGAGGAGAGGAGGAAGAATAGGCACTTAGAGCCACCTTTACTCTGGTAATGGTATTGAAATCAGTGGCCTTCAAGCCACACGGGCTCATGTGGACTCTGTTATACTTACTGTCTTCTAACCCTCCAATTTCACTCTTTGTGTTCTTGTTGTATCCTTGGATGTCCTGGAACTCACTGTGTTGACCAGGCTGGCCTTGAACTCATCAATACATGCCTGCCTCCGACTCCCAAGGGCTGGCGTTGAAGGTGTGTGTCACCATGTCCCGCCGAGCCTCACTTTGGGTGTCCTCAGAAGCAGCTGTGAGACATGGGTTTGTGTGCCCATTGCTTCCGTCACCAGAGATCCCAGGAGCAAAGGAAAGAAAGAAGTGTAGGTGTGGGGTTGTTCCTGGCAGGTTTCTCCCGATGGTGACCGGGGTGCTTTTCTGAGGACTTCTAGAAATGTTAGACTTAGAGCAGAGTTGGCAGACATGGCTCTCTGTCTGTTGTTCATTAAGTCCTGCTCCATTGCTGCCCCTGAGCTACAAAGGCAGAACTGAATAATTACAGCAGAGACCATATGGCTCACAGAGCCCCAAGTACTCATTGCCTGGCTCTTGGCATCAAACATTCATTTTCCTTGGAGTTTAGGTAAAGCAAATGGTATAATTGTCCTTGATCTCCTGCGCCTCGGAGGTGGAGTCTCTTCCCAGGGACCGTGATGTGTTCACGGTCGGTGAGTAAAGGTCCAAGAGAGTATGGATGATCCATGGTGGTCGGTACTGTGTGTACAGAGCTAGCACAATTCTCACTCGCAGGAGGCACTCGAGACACTGGCTCTTCTTTCTCATTCCAGACTAGTGATTCTTAGCCCAGGGAACTTCTACACTGCCATTGCCTAAGGTACTTTAAAAAGATGTTCTGAGTCTTTGTACCTTGGGAGGCCTGGGAGTCTGTTCTTTTGTCCTGAGGTTTCTGGTGACAGACAGTGCCTTTTGTACCAGTCCGCCCCAACCTTCCTGCAATTATTCCTTGTGTCCAGGTGTCTGCATAAGACAGCCTTTTATGGGGAGGGCAAGATAAGTGCTTATAACAGTTTTGACCAAGACAGCACTCACTGAAAAAAATGACAGAAACTTTAGATTAGCAACTTAGACACAAGTGTGAAGACCATATGAAATTTGTCCCTTATTTCCTGTGTATTACATGTAGATTAAATGACTAAGGTGACCATGTTCTAGGCACAGCACATGAAACTAAGCATTTTAATGATTTTAACATCTACAGTTTGGTTTTATGGAGCACTTTTACAGTGTGGTTCATCCTCCCGAAGGAAACTCTGTACCCCTCAGGCAGTCACCCCCAGCCTCGCTCTGTCTTCCCCTTGCCAATCATAATGAGCTCACCATCTCTGTGCATTTGCATCTCTGAGTTCTGTGTAAATGGCGTCATGTGTGTGGCCTCTGCCTCTAGCCTCTTCACTTAGTGTGTGCTCAGGGCCCATCCATGTTCTGGTATGTGCTAGTGTCCATTCTGTTCTCTTAGAATGGTAGTACTGTACACAGATGTTGCACAGAAATTCCTGCCTCCATCTTACAGATGAGAAAAAGCGAGGCCTCTGCACCATGGCTCTCCCTATCTTTCTCTTGGAAGGCAGCTCTTTTGTTTGTTTGTTTGTTTGTTTGCCTTAACGATCCTTCCATAAAAAGAAAGACTAACTGACCTCTTTTCCTGTGCGGGGGTGGGGGGTGGGGGGTGTGTCTTCCATAAGTCATCAGCTGTCAACACTTCAGTCAACACTTCATTTTCCTGCTTGGGATACTTATTTGAGGACCGAAGTGATTAACCAGTAACTGAGAATTTCAGTTTTAAAGGCACCAGGCATTAACTCTTACCTGGCTTTATATTTCTAGTCTAACCCAGTGGTTGGAATATTCACGTTGAGGTAGGGCAGAGAGGCCAGAAGCCATCTTCCTTACTCCTTTGTCAGCCTGTAACAATGTCAAATCGAGGTTTCTGCTACCAAAGGAGCTCCATGTGGCATCACTCTGTTGCCTTAGCCTTCGCACCTATAGGTGTCGGCCCCTCTGTGCTGAGGTTCCCCGTGATGTGATCTCTATGTTCCTAGAAAGGTTTGGTTGTCTCTGTTTTTTTCTAGGTGTATTTGGTTGGATGACACAGGAACCCTTGTGTCCTAAGAGTTGTTCAGAGTCTGTGACAGACCAATAGGAGTCTTGGCCCCTCAACTGCACCTCTTGGCTCAATCAGCCCAGTGGAGCTTGTAGAGATGATTGGTGCTCATTTGTAGACGTGTACGAGATGCTTCACTTTTCTCTCTAAAGGATGAGACCACGTCATGAACTTGAAAATGACGTCCCTGACCTCGCTTGGTCTCATTTTCTGCCTTTTCTTTCCTTTCCTTGTATACAGTTCCATAGCAAAATTGGGCTGCAGGATCCTTCTCTAGAGGGCTTTTAGGGCAAGGGATTGTGCCTGTGAGTGCAGAGTCTTGACTTGGTTATTCAAGGTCATCTCTCAGCCACGTCCTTGTCTAAATGTCCTCTCCTTATGTGTCCTCTTCTCCTGTATGTCCTTACCTTCTCATAAGTAAAACTATCCATGGATCTGCCCAGGTTCTGTGTCCAGTTCCATTCCACGGTACTGACAGGAGCAGTAGTAATTTTAACTTCCACTAAGAAAGGCCTTACTTTCCAAAGGACCTGACTCTCATGCAGTGTTAAGCTCCAGGAGGCTAGCCTTTCCCTGTGTTCTAGGCACAAAAGAACCATTTGCTCTGAATGCTGTGGAGAAAACCCACTTTTTTTTGCTGATAATGCTTCAGAGATAAATTACCTAGGGGTAAATTAACTTGGAACCCAGGGGAAATAGCAATTCTGGGGAAGCATTACCACCCACACCCCTGCTTCCAGGACAGTTAGAGTAAAAAAGCACTCAGCTTGTACTCCAGAGGACCAGCAAGCCCAGAAGTCCGAAGAACGTGTTGGTCAAAGAAGCCATTGCCCAGTCATTCTCCAGAAACTTCCATAGACCAAGATCCGATGAGTAGCTTGGAAATTCCTGAGACTTTGTAGTTTCTTCTCGAATATCCCGTCATGGCAAGAGGAGAAACTGTCAGAAAATTTCTTCCTCTGACACTGATTACAGAGGGGGTTTTAAAAAGTAAAAGCGGTTGAATGACTGAACCCCTTCAGGGAAAAGTGAAATCAGGGTGGTGACTTGGTCAGAGAACAGAGTAGAGGAGGGCAGAAAGTTAGAGCGGCAGGCTGCAGTTTATGGAGCTAGGCTTGGGGTCCTCTGCCCCGACTGCTCTCTTTCCATGGGGGAGGTGAGGAAGTGGGAGGATGTCAGTACCCTGAAACCTCACTGTAGAAGAGTCTAATTGCTTCAAGATGCTTTCCCCTGCGTTGAATTTGCCTTTAATTAAAGTTATGTGTGTTTGTCTTAGGAACAACCAGACTAAATAAAATCGCGGCTGGGACCATAGTATTTTGAACAAATACTCGCCAGGGCATAGGTGCACAGACCTTAAAAAGAGTGTACACACACACACACACACACACACACACACACACACACACACACACACGAGGTGGGGGGGCGCGGGGAGAGTCTGCATTTCAGAAACCTGATCTTTTTGGCCTTGAAAGCAGAAACTCATGAAAGTATTTTTAGATGTCTGTGGAACTGAAGTGTAAAGTAGAGAAGTAGGTTTTGATCTCTGCAAACCAGTACAGTAAGATGCTTCTCTGGCTTGTGGCCTTTTCTACCCTCTGCCTCTCTCTTTGCTCAGAATAGGGATGCATTAGGTGGTTGGTACCAGCAATTCCATCTTAGAACTCAAGTCGTATCGTGTGATCAGCCTTCTCTAGTTCTTCTCACAAAGGACTTCTGAATTATTTAATGGAAATCTTTACATACTGTGAATGATTGCAGCCTCCACCCCCTCTGCACTGTCATCGTATAACTTCCCTCTGAAGACTGGTCTTAGATAGTGATAGGCACTTGGGCTCTAGATTATATGGACTAAGTGTTTCTCTCTTGAACCGCCTCTGAAAATTGGGGACTAGGCTGTGATGTTCTTTATCCCCTGACTCACAGCTGTCTGCTTCCTGTTGATACTTGATGGATCTTAAGGAGACACACTCTATTTTGAGTTACACAATACTTTAATTTTATGTGTATGAGTGTGTAGGCAGAGTTTTTTTTTCCTAACAGCCTGCTCCCAAATAACCGCACAGAGACTTAATAATTATAAATGCTCTGCTGATAGCTTAGGCTTGTTTTTTTTTTTTTTTAGCTAGTTCTGACAACTTAAATTAACCCATTTCTCTTCATCTGTGTCCTGCCCTGAGGCTGGTTTACCTCATCTATGAACTTTGCATGTTGCTTCTTCCACATCTGGCTGGCTACTC